ATCCAATTTGTTTGTTAAATGTATACCATGTGCTGAGGATCATGCAAGTTATTAAGAATCCTGAGTTATCAGGTATGGAATCTGCTCCTGAAGCCAGAAAGGAAAGGAAAGACTTTATGGCTGGGTTGGTCCCAAGTTGCTCTCTCTTTTAATTTTAATTCTCTTTAAAAAATTTTACCCTGTCTTCACTTTATTCTACCTTAGTGCTTAAAATATAGTAAGTATACACTATTTTATGAAATTAATAAGAATTTAAATGTTATATAATTTCCAGTCTGCTTCTCATTGATTTCCAATTTCTCCTTCCTTTCATTCTGTTCTTTGTTGGCCTTTCCTCTGTGTGTGCGTGTTTTAATTACCTGTCTTCTCTCTTCTGCTTCCTTTATTCTAAATGCCGCTTCCTGTGTTCTTCTTACTCAATACATTTATTTGCCAGTTGCAGCCACTCCAGCCTTTGTACCCACCTCTGTTGTTTAACTGAACTTATCCACCCTCTTTGGCTTTCTTTTCCTTTTGCATCTAATTCTTTTGTTGTCCCAGAGCATCTTATTTTTTTGCTTCTCCAGCTCACCTGCCAGGGCCTGAGTGCCCACTGGTGTTGGGCAGTTCTCTGCAGGTGTTTTATGGAGTAGAATAGACTCTGGTTCTGGCAGCATCTTCTGGGTTCTGAGAGGGAAGCTGTTGGGCAGAGATGATGATGAAACCTGACTCATTTCCACTTTTTGACTTTCTCCTTAAGAAAGATGTAGCTAGTTCTCAGTGACAGGACTGTGTGAGATTGGAGGAGACAGGTGGTGAGAAGGAAGACACATCTGATTTCACCTTGTCCACTTTGCCCGGGGACAGCTGTGAGCAGCTGCTCATCATGGTGACAGAGAGCACTTACCCTTTTTTTTTACTACTGATCAGAAACAATCTTATTTATTAAAAGAGAAAAAAATCTTTGGGTCTATAACACTTTGATCAGATGATGAATTTTTGTTAAAAGTTAGAAAGTCTTGTAATGACATCAGAGAATGTTGATATCCTGAAAAAATTGTAATAACATGGATATTTTAAGTTTTTAGTTCCTAATTGTAATGTCTGTTTTGGACCAAGTCCAATCTATATCTGTAGTTCCAAGTTAATTTTGAGTCAAGTCACCCTGGCCATGCCTCTTCAACTATTCTATGCAAGGCACCATGAAAGCTATTAAAAACAAAAACCAAGATTGACCTAGTATCTTTCCATGTCTCTGTGTATTTGGGAAGAGAAGGTAGAACACAGGGCTGAAAATCATGAGGTTGGATGTGTTTTTAGAAAGGTAATGTAGACAGTATGTAACATCTCCAGATAGGTTGTGTGTGGAAATTGCCTTTAACGTGGTTAATTAGGAATATTCACACTGAGTGGGGGAAAAATACATAACTAATCTGATGTCAGGTCAAGCATTCAGATTTTGATTTTGGGAATTGCGAATAAGAGATTATGGGCTTGTTTTATTTTTTTTTGTTTTTAAGAGGAATTAATTATGAGTCACATTCAGAGAAAGGAAATACCACTGTGGGCTGGTGGTAGAAAAGGTGGGATTTTTATCTGGTTTTGAAGGTCCGGATGGGACTTCATTTTGCTCACCATTGAATCTCGGGCAGCTAGAACAGTATTTGGCACATATTTGATGAATAAATACTTGACAGTGGAGTAATGTGTGAAGGGAAAGAACGTTTCTGTCAGACGGGACCTCTGCCTCAGGAGGGAATGAATTTGGTTACTTGTGGGTGATAGTCTGGGGTCTGCTCTGATGAAGGTGAATATTCCACAGTAAATGTGGGTGGGTGAGGTAGGGCCCATTGTGGATATTTATGTGTTTATGTCTTCCCTACTTGTTCTGGAATCGAGACTTGATCTGATGGTTTACTCTTAAGTGGGGATGAAAGAGAACTTAGATAATCAAGAGAACTTAGAAAAATAAAAAGAAAAAATGATGATGTTCTGAATGAATTATGGTCGTGTGTGCTTTCCTGTAAGGGTGCCTTAATAAATGTGTGTGTATAAAATTGAAGACTGTGTTGAAGGAGCAGAGATTAGTCTGAAGTTTGAAGAAATTGTGTACACTGACCTATTGAATTTGGAAAGTGACAGAGAGGAAGTCAAAGAAAATTTCAAAATTCTAATACTTGGTGATTAGACATAGTGACTCCTTTGACTGAAAGGGGAAAATGTGGAAGAGAATCCGGAGAAACTGTGATAAACCCACTCATGGGACTTGGCGTATTGATTGGTTTATATTCTTCAAATATATTTATTTGTTGTCTTTTATAGGACACATATGTGTTCATAGATATAAAGTATGTTCCAATTTTCTTAATTTTAAGGACATTGTAATAAGAAACAATATCCTACATGATGTGCATGCGTGTGTGTGTGTGTGTGTGTGTTTTATGGGCTGTTTCCAAGCTGCTTTGATAAGAGGTTTATTTAAATTTCATCTTAAAAAAGTGGAAACTGCGTTGAGTAGCATCAATTCCCCCTTGCGCCTTTCATTATGCATTAGCAATTAACTCAGCTTCTCTCAGGTTGATGAATTTGAACTTGATCAATTATCTGATAGTAATTACCAGCACAGAGTGATGATTATTGCTGAGGTAACATTCTTATTTCATTTCTCTATGTATTTTAGGCCCTTCTCAAAGGCGCATGTTTGTTTGACTGCAGAATATGCTTTGCTCTTTTGGCTTCTGGCACTGAGGTCGAACTATTTTAGGTTTCTTAAATAGAGGAGTATTGAGAAAAAAATCCTCTGGTATTTTAAACTCTCCGGACATGGCCTTGTGGCCTCTAGGGGGAGGAAGGAATGAAGCCCAGTCTTTTCTCTTGTAGCAGGCTCAAACTCTGATTTTTGTGTTTCTTGACAATTTCCTTTCCTTTTTATCAACTCCTGGCAGGGCTGACCTGAATTTTTCTCTCTCTTGGAGTCCGTGAGCTTCCCCATCAGGAAGATGCCTCTCTGCTGCTTTGGTTCTTTAGCATTCAAAACGTCTTTAGAACAGATATGTGTAGACTGAAAGGCTAGTCTTTGCTCTTCTGGTTCTTTGAGCTCTTTGGAGATAATTGAGAGAGAAGGTGTATGTGTTTGCTTGGACTACCATGGTGAAGTACCACAGACTGGGTGGCTTAAACAATAGAAATTTATTTTCTCAGAATTCTTGGGGCTAGAAACCTGAGGTCCATGTGTCAGCAGGGTTGGTTTCTTTTGAGGGCCCCTCTCCTTGGTTTGTGGGTGACTGTCTTCTCCCTGTGTCTTCACACCGTCTTCTCTCTGTGTGTGTGTCCCAACTTCTTATAGGAACATTGGTCATACTGGTTTAGGGTCTACCCTAATGACTTAATTTTAACTTAATTACCTCTTTTAAAGACTTTATTTCCAAACAGTCAAATTCTGAGGTAGTGAGGGTTATGGATTTTGGGGGGACACAAAATTTTGCATATAATAGATAAGTAGGACATTTGAGAAGCTTAAAAAATGATTAAGGAGAAATAAATGAAAGGCAAAAAGAGAAAAGGAAAATAAAGACTTGTTTTTTACAAGGAATAATAAGAGCTTTTATGTGTGTGGTGTGTAAGAATTGACAGTACATGTGTTAATATCGTCTCAGTATCCTCCCACCATAACACAAGGTGCAAGATGCTATCCTTGATCTCAGATACCTCATCGAGACTCAGAGAAATCTCCGGTCTCTCTGCCCAAGGTCTCAGAGTTGAGGAGTGACTGAGCTTTGACCTGAATCCAGCCCTTCAGAATCTGCCTGGTATTCTATTCATCACCCATGCAGGGAGGCAAAAAGAAAGTAAGCCCCCTTGGGCAAATTCCAGGGCCTTTTGGGTGGTGTTTTGTTTTGGAAACTTGGAGGATTGGAGGCATCATCTTCCTTTCAGCCAGTTGTGTTCTTGTTAGCTTTAACATTGGTAGTGCAGACCATAAACACAGGCAACAAGCTGTAACTCTCTTGAGAAATAAAGATAAGTCTTGTTTTTTTGAAAGTCATTATTTTATTATGAAAGGTTTCAAGCATAAAAACAGTAGAGAGAGTGGTACAGTGAACTCTCTTGTATTCCTATTACTCAGGCTCAACAATTATAAAGATTTTACTAAAATTGCTTCATCTATCCCTTCTTTGCTCTTAAAGCAAATCTTAGATAGGTTCCTTTCACTCTTTTCGGTATGTACCTTAAAAAAATAGGGATATTTTCTGACCTAATCTTAATGTCACTCAGAGTTTCCAGATTGCCTCAAAAGTGCCCTTTTATAAGTTGGTTTATTCAAATCAGAATCCAAACGTGCCATGTATTCGATATACTAAATTATGTTCGACAGTATATTTTCTTGCCTTTACTTCTTGTCTGTTGTGCAAAGAGATATTTTGTTTCCCCGGCTCTGCAGAGAGAGAATGCTGGGATTTGGTTCATTTTGATGTATACTTTGTAGTGATGTTCCTTGGAAGTTTCAGAGCTCCTCACTGGACAGGGCATATAACAGCTCTTAAAAACAAAAACAGTTCTGCCTTAGTTTTGAATGCAGTTTCCATGGTCTTAAAGAATCATCCAAATAACAATTTCTTTCTGTGTCCTAATTAACACCATGTTATTTTTAAAAGGCTAAAACTTTTCAAGAAAAAAGTCAAGAATAAGTAAACATAATAAACACGAAAGTTACAATGCATCTTTACAGAGTGCATTGGTACACATGAGTACTACTTAAGGAACTTCTTTCATTAACATTGACTCATTACATTTTGTCCACATGGAACGTTGTTTTTATGAGATTATTTTCCAACCATAACTCATGAATACCAAGCTGCTAAAACAAGTTGGTAAACACTTGCTTTTGTCGAACGTTATTTTTATAGTCAACAGGAATGCTGCTAATGTGAGTTAGCAAAGACTCCGAATGCAATTGTTTGTTCCCAGCTTTTAAAATATGACAGTCTTGTATTTTGCTAACACTTTGTCTCTTCCAATAGGTATAAATGACCAAGGATTGTACAGAGTTGTGGGGGTGAGTTCAAAGGTCCAGAGACTTCTGAGTATGTTGATGGGTATGCCTCTTTTCTAATCATTTTCCATGCATTATTTGTTTATGTTCATTGACTTCACCACTTAATATTTCATAGTAATGTACAGCATACTTGTGAATCCATTCTGTTCTTCTACTGCCTAGATGAGCTTTCTCCTAAGCAGAGCTAGCTGATGCAGAGAAGTAGATTAGTGTTTACCTCAGCCCAGATTATCCACTCCCTCTTTACTGATTAAGAAATGGTGGTGGTGGTGGGGGGTGGTGGAAAAAGAATGCAGGCTCATGGGTGAATGTCTTCTTGCCCTGGCTTCTCAGAGGAAAGAAGCAGCCAGGCCTCTGCGATTTGCATGGCTTCCAAATTGCCTGTCCAGAGTCTTGACAGTACATTTGGTTGGACAAGACCACTGGGACTCACTCATTTTTATGTTGCTTCCAAAACTGTCACTTGACAGCAAGGATCTGATTTTCCGGGATTCATTGGTATTCACAGTGGCTTGTTTGTAGTTTGCACCAGGCTCTTCTCCAGAACCATGCATGCTCCATCTGTGCTGATAACACAGTGTTCTTTGGCATCGCAGACTAGAGGAAGCCAGAAAGCGAATTCATTTCATTACCCCAGACATTACGTGAATGACAAAGCGCTTTTCCATTACACGCTGCTGTCATCTCAGTGCCACCTGGGAGGGGCCCCACTTCCCTCCCCACCCCAAAGCAGGCTGCCTCTTGAGGAGTGATACCTCATCAGGCTGGAGGGCCTGCATGTCAAACCAGTCTGTCATTTTGACCTTGCTAAATATTAATTAACTTGATATCTCACTTTAATTAATCAATATTAACAGTGCCCTCAGGTATGCTGTCAATGCATTTAAACCTGCCTGCATCTGAAAGCATTGTAGGGAAGACTCAGTTTTCGGAAGCATAAACCAAGATGAATAAAATCAGCTGATGTGTTGCAGATAGGATTGCTTGTTTGGCTGTATTTGAATTAAGGATTTAATAAGAATAACCTTTTTTTTTTTTTTTAGCTATTAACCACAGGAAAAATTGCCCGTCATCAGTTGGAGAGCTGTCTTAGAATACATTCGCTTTCATGAGCTGTTTTCATTTTCTGCCTCTCTGGTTTAACTTGGGTGTACAATTTTGGCAGTCAGATTTTCCTTTTTACCATTAGTGGGCTCCAAATTAAATAGACTCAGGTTGCCAGTGGTTCAGTAGCAGCTGGAAGAGTTTAATGGGACTCCAGCATCTGCTTTTAGTTAATTTTAAAATTAGAAACACTTCTCTCATTTCCAAGAGATGGTGTAATAAGGATTAGAATTGGAAGACTCTGTTGGCATCAGAAAGGGATATACGCAAACAATGAATCGTGGATCACTACATCAAAAACTAATGATGTATTTGTATGGTGACTAACAAAATAAAATTTAAAAAATAAATAAAATAAAAAAATAAAAATAAAACAAAAAAGAAAGGGATATTTTGGCTGAAAGGCACACTTGGGCAGCAAATTGGTCAGAAGGATCCTAGCATTATTTTTACTATCTTCATGTTCACGTTCAAGGGAAGCTCAAACCAGGGTGTCTCCGTGGTCACGCCAAAGTGTTAAGCTGTCTCAAAAGTTGTTCTTAATCTCATAAAATCCCACTTGATCTGCATCCCTGAACAAGGTGGTAGTTTGCTGTGCTCATGGGAAATGTCTCAAAATAATCCTGAACCGGCAGGGTGTTTTAAAATACCTAAACCCTCAAAAATTCATGACCTGGAAAACGGTTTTCACTTTCCATGAGACTCAGAGCAGCGAGGTCGAGGATACAAGCATGATACAACCTGATTTCAGTTACTGACAAAGGAAATGCTGTGTTTTCCCAAGAAGTATTTATCCAGGAAGTTGAAGAATTGATGAGAGTGTTAGCTCCTTATTAAAGGAGGGTGGGGGTGGGGTGGGCGCTACACAGCAGAAATTATTTTACTTAATCCATAAATAATTCCTAGTATGAATTTAAAATTGCCAGTCACAAACCTTGGATTTTTATTAGGATTAATCCACTTTCTTGTTACTTTGTTACCAACTCAAACTTAAGCTCTTAACAGAATAGATTTATTCGCTGTGTCCTAATTTAAAATTCTCTTAAGATACCTCTTTCCATAAAAAAAAAAAAATCTCTTTCCGTCCATCCTGATTCACTAAGTGTTCACAACAAATAATTTATACCTCTTCCCCCCCCCCAAAAAAAAAGATTTTAGAGTTTCTGTGTATTGTATATACCCTGTCCCCTGGACATTCTTTGTTTCCATCTTTTCTCACCTCCCTGTGTTCTAGGGTTCTATATCTTCAAGAGAAAAAAAAAATTGGATGAGTCTGCCAGATTTTTAGCTTTGCTCTTTTAAACCAATCCATAATTCCTCCCCTCTAGAGGAGTTAGTTCTGATGATTTTGCCTATTGTGGTACTAGGCAGTTTTTTTTTTTTTTTAAGTTACCATTTCTCTAGGTAGTGTTTATTTCAAATTTGAATTTTTCAAAGTGCAGTTTGTGTGTAATGGTTTTGTTCTTTGTAGAGATGAGAAATCATCTAATTTTTTAGTATCTGAGGAAAAATTCCAAGGCATTTACTATTTTTTGACAAGAACTTCCATTTACTTGGTTTCTTTAGTTCTTGAGAGCTAATTATTTACTTGGATATTTTTCTGTTATTGCCATTTTTATGTAACACATTTGTATATTGTTTGTTTGAAATGTTTTAAGTATTTAAGTACGCTTGCATAAATGTGATAATTTCTAAAGAAAGGGTGCATGTTTAGTATCTTGCATGTTTTCTTCACCTGTGTTGTTTTTTGGTGTGTTTTCACCCCTGGTATTTAAGATTAAAATAAAAAATGTTTCTCTCCATTCTTCTCCTCTCCCATCTCCTCTCTGCCCCCCCTTTTCCCTCCACCCCGTTCTTCTCTTTTCTCCTCTGCCAACAAGAAATACTAATGATAGTTGACCATACAAAGTCCTCTAAATAGACCTGTCATCTCTACTCCTCCAGGTCAGGTCATGGTGATGGGAGTTGTTTGTCTTCTTAGTCGTCTTCCATTCTGGGAGCAGAAGATAGAGGTCTGCTAGCTTTTCCTGGACCAAGCTTCTTAAGTTTCCAAAAAAAAAAAAAAAAAAAAAAAAAGCCCAAGTGAGCAATTGTCTTTGTTCGCTTTTCAGGTGTTTTTCTTTCCTTCCCCTTTTGCTCTAACAGAGGGCATGCATAGGCATAGTTTTGTAAAAGTTGTTTGTTTGTTTGTTTAAATAGAAACTTGGAGCACTTGGGGAGGGAAGGGAGAAATATCAGATGAGGTGTCTTTGGGTGAGTCATGGATTTTTTAGTAAATGGGGTGAGAATATAACAGATTAATTACAATAGTATTGGTAGGTTAGAACTAAGATGGGTTAGAATTGTCATTATTCTTCCCACCTCCCCACTGAAGAATGAAAACATCAGAGCAGGGTGGGGGAATTGTGAGAAAAATGTGGTGGTAGCTTATGTGTGTTGGTGAATTTGGTGGTTATTTCTAAATTTAACTTGCAAAACAGGCTGGATGATTTTATTTTTAGACACAAGCATCGAAAACAAGAAATAAAACTAATTTAGAAGTTTTACTTTCAAAAATACTACCTTGTTTATTTGTAGGACAGCTTTTTTTATATGGATTGGGGGGAAAAAGGAATGTAGGTGAAAAATTCTGATTTTGATTATAAAGAATATTCTCAAAATTCATTCCATCAGCGTGCTCTGTCAAGTACTTTAAAGTGGGGCCCAAGTCAATATTCAGAAGGGTGTCAGCACTTTGTATTTAGGTGGGGCTGAAAATTTCCAGTTTCAAAAAAAACAGAACACTGGTTACATAATTATGAAACATTAGCCCAAATAAAAAGTCGACTATTTGTATCTGTGCTTGTTAGTTTAGAGTTTTAACTAATCCGTAAGAGTGTTGTCCCTTGGTCAGAAGGGAAGCAAAATTCCTTCCTTGTTTACAGTAGAACATATATTCTGATTGAACACTCAAATGCATTTTTAAGTTTGAATCCCAAATAAGTTACTAGCAAATTTGCCTGGTCCCAGTGCATCCACTGATTGTAAAGAACTGCTAGGGATGATTGAGTTATTTGAAAACAGTGAAAATTTAGTAGAGGATTAGTACCATAGGCCCTATGTAGTCATTAGCTTCTGATACGACAGCTACTTTTTATTCCATGAATTCAAAGGATGGCTTATTTTTCCATAGAAAGAATATTATTCTCAAAATATAGACCGATTATTTGGTAGAAAGATAAAAATAAAAGATTTCCTTTAGAAGCCTCCTGATTTTAAAATGCTGATTTGCCGGTAGCAAGTTGATTGAAAATGTTATCTGACTTGTATGTTAAAATGAGATTTAAATAATTGATTTAATGAGAGAGAGAATATTCAGTTACTGAAGTAATTGGTTGGCAAAGCCTTTAGAACAGAATTATTTAGTCCTAGTTATAAAGGATTGCACCTTTAATCAGGGTGCTTAATTTGATTTCTTGAATGTATCTGTGGCTTGTCTGACAAGCCCAGTAACAAATGAGTTCTGAATTGTAGGAACTGATCAAAATGTAATCAGTGTCAGTTGCCATTGTTGTAGTTTATTGCATGTTGCTGTCAGTTGCTGTAATCAAGGACTGTTGAAGTGCTTTAAAAAGTCTCCAGACTTTTGAGTAATTGACTTCATACGTATGATGTTATGGCTGTGGAAGAATCATTACTTCCTGTTTTACTTTATTTTCAGAAAGTTTGAGAATAACGTTGAGTTGCCATCTATCCTTCCTCCTGCCCAAGCCCAAAGCTTTTTCAGTGGCAAGCCTGACTGAATGCAGTGGTCCCGCTCTGACAGGCTTTTCTTTTTAGTGCCTTTCAAGAGGAACTAACTAACAAGATGTTTCCTCCCCTATATAGACAAATACAGAGTTAAGGGAGGAAAAAAAGTCTGAAACGACTTGTTTTCTTGGGTCTTGGTTGAAACAGCATTCTAGAGTGAGGGAGAAATAAAATCTCTTCCAGGAATGTCTGATTTTTTTTCCTTTGGACGATGGGAGTAGAGAAAACCAGGCAAGTTTCTGTCGATTGTTTAATATCATTCATCATAACCCATTTGCTGCCCCCTCCTTTTGAGTAGGAACCACCTCTGAACGCTTATACTTTTAGTGACTCAGCTGTGGTAATTGCCTACTTATTTAAACAATTTATGGGAATCTGTACACATTCCTGTTTTACTTTGCTGCTCTTCAGAGTTGAGAACGTTTACTTGATCTCCATGGTACAGGCGAAAACCTGAAGTTTGGAGAGGTTTAGAACTGACTTGGTTTGGGTGGTGTAGCCCCCCAGGTTTGTGATAACATGCTGCCCACCTCTCCTCCTCCCCGGTGCCGAGCCAACAGCCGGGTATAGTAGCCCAGCCTTGGAAGGATTAAAGGTCCTACCCTACCCAGAGTGCTTGCCTTTCCCTTTTGCACCATCCTTTCCTTTTATTTCGACCAAAGACTCACTTTTTCCTTTTCAGAATTTACTACCTCCCTTCCCCTCCCGTTTATTTGTTTGTTTAAGCCACACATCTTTTCTACCGAGTTTGTTGGCTATCTGAAAGGGCATTTGGAAGGAACACATCATTAACACTTTTAGGACAAAGAAAACTAGTTTTATTCAGAATGAATGTCAGAAGTGTTGCACAGAGGCTTCTGATAAGTATTTCTTAGACGAGCTTACAAATTGTGATGTTAATGTGAAAGTTGAGTTTAAATGTATGTGTCACCCTATTGCTATTTTGATGGATCATGTATTAATCTTCAGAAAGGTATATGTTGAGTACAGGTCTTAGAAGCATGGGACCAAGCTTACTGTCCCTTCTTCCCACTGACTTGCTGCCATCTTGCCATTAACAGTGCTGACTGTTTCCCTTGTCATAACACAGTGTGATGACTGTAATGTCACCTGAGACGTGGTAAAATATGTAGACACTGCAAATGCCACATGCTCTAAGCCATGGCTACCGAGTAGTGTCTTTAATAATAGTAATAACTGTCAGCATTGCCGTCATCGTGCCCACATATGCTTTGAGTTGTGACTATTGAAATGCCCCACTCTGTCCAGGTCTTCCCTCCTCCCAGCCCCATCTTATCCTGTTCCTTTGATTTCCACTACAGATCTTCTGAAGTTGCTTAGGAATGTCTAATAATAGGACACAGCTTATACTAGAAGAAACTGTGTATGTTTTTATAAGAAATCCTGGAATTAATTATTTGTGGTTTGGCCATTTAAAAGTGGAAGCTTTGTGAGCCAGTCAAGGGGGCCGTTGAATGTTCTGGGTTTTAATTACTGTTTTCTTGCTTGCTTACTCACTAGATGTAAAAACATGCAATGAGGTGGACCTGGAGAATTCTGTAGATTGGGAAGTGAAGACAATAACAAGTGCCCTAAAACAGTACTTGAGGTAAGCTCCTCTCAGTGACAGAACGGAAGCGTGCGCTCTTGGGCATCTAACACATGGCGGATGCCGACTCTGCCCAGAGATCTCAGTCGTCAAGTTAAACCTTATGAAAAAGGGGGACATTTAGGAGGGATCTGTGTCTTCAAAAGTGTGGCAAGTAGTAGCTGAATGTCAGTTGTTAGGTAAATTGCAACAGAATTGGAATGGATTTGGTTTTTGAAATAGATGTCTATTGTAGATGTGAGTTTTAGGAGTTAAGTGTTATGAAACAGGAAGAAGGCTATTTATTGAATTCATTGACTCTTTTAGGCGGAAATGAAGATTTTTTTCGTTTAAATTTAAACCATTGAACCTAGAGGCTTATAACGATAACACATAAATACAAAGCTATTTGAAAGGAAGTTCACTTGAGATTTTAAGATAAACTGAAGTCTTGCATTTATTATAGGAGATATTTAGGACCAGAGTTAGACTAGGGCTCAGCATCTCTATGGGGCATTACCCTTTTTATAAAAAAGAATTTAATGATAAAAAGCTTGAGACTAGATGAAGAACAATACCGCGAGAGGGGAAAAAAGAAGTAAAAGAATGGAAAAAGGATGACGACCATAATTCCTGTGCTGTGGTGCCCCTATGGAGGACTTTGATTTTTGTGTGGCAGACAAATGACAATGCTTCCCCAGGACTGATTCTTGGTCACCAGCACAGAGGATTGTGTTTCAGGTATATATTATTTGGGTTCGAATGAGCACATAAAATGAACTAGCTGCTATTATATATTTTAAGCAATTCATCTATTTGAAAAATTCCAGGTCTGTAAAACCAGAGAGGTTAGTATACTGAATCCTCATGGCTCTACTACCCCGTGTCTACAGTTATCAACATCCTACCCTTCTTGTTTCTGCAGTCCCCCTACCTGCTACTTCTTTTGGATAATATTTGAAAGATTTTCTAAAACATCATATTGCTGCACCCATAAATACTTAAGTATATGTCTATAAAAAGGTAAAGACTTAAGAAAAAAAGACAATATAGAAAGACAAAGAGAATACAATGATCATACCCAACAAAATTAATATCATCCAGTACTGAATCCATGTTTGATTTTTTTTACTGATTTTTCTTTTTTCCAAAAGGTCTTTTCATATTTATTTAAATTCCTGTAGGGTTTGAATAATGTCAACACATTTTATATGTTTTAAGTCACTTTTAATCTGCACAGTCCCCTGCCTCTGCACAGCTTTCTTCTCCCTCAGCATTTCTGTTTGTTTATGAACCTAGCTCATTTTTATTTTTTTGTTCTTATTTTTTTAAGGATTTATTTATTTATTTTAGAGGAGGGGTGAGGGGCAGGGCAGAAGGAAAGGGAGAGAGAGAGTCTTAAGCAGACTCCACACAGCACGAAGCCCAATGTGGGGCTCGATCTCACAACTCTGAGATCATGACCTGAGCTGAAACCAAGAGTCCTATGCTCAATTGACCATACTCCACAGGTCCCAACCTGAGTCGTTTTTAAGTGTAATTTTCCATATTTTAGATATGGCAGGTTGTGTCATGGTGTCATTTAACGTGTTTCTCTAGCCATCATATTTCCTGTAAACAGTTAAATCTATAGAATTCATTAGATTCAGATTAGGTTTTTTAAAAATTGATTTATTCCAAGAATACATCATAGTGGTGTTATATTCTTCCTGTAATATATCAGGAGGCCTGTTACCTGTTTGTCCCACTTTTTCATTTCTTTTCTTTTTTTCCCAAGATTTATTCATTTTAGAGAGGGAGAGAGCTGAGAGAGAGCGCAAGCATGGGGAGGGGCAGAGGGAGAATCTCCAACAGACTCCCTGCTGAACGTGGAGCCCGACATGGGGCTCAACCTCACAACCCCGAGATCATGACCTGAGCCCAAATCAAGAGTCGGACACCCCAACCGACTGAGCCACTCTGGTGCCTGGTTGTCCCATTTTTTAATGAGATTAAAACTTATCAGTGGGTTTAGATGTGTATTACCTATTTTTGAGTATTTTATTTAAGCAAGGTATTTTTAACCACTGTTTAAAAATTTTTTTCTTAAACTCTGAAGTACATTATTGTCCCTAGTTGATAAAAGGATAAAATTACTGCTAAATCTATGTGTTAATGTCTCCCTGATAGTGCCTAACTGGTTTGGATGAGAATTACGGACAAAATGAATTTCCTTAGGTCCCACCTGGGGATTAGAATGTAAGCTTCCTAAAGATAGGCATCTTGTGTGTCTTGTTCATTGAAGTATCTCCAGCATCTAGAGCTGTACCTGTCACCAGGATATAGGGCTTCTCAACTGGGGAAATTTTGCATCCCCCCAGGAGATACATGGCAATGTCTGGAAGTATTGTTGGTTGTCACGATTGCTGGAAAGGAGGTGCTACTTGGCATGTAATGGGGGGGAGGCCAGTGATGGGCTGCTAAACATCCAGGAGGTTACCCATGATTGCTCCCAAATGTACAGAATGTTAGTAGTGCTGAGATTGAGAAAGCCCGTAAGAGATGGATGAAGGAAAGAATGGGAGAGGGATATAAAAATACAATGAACTGCATATGTTAACTTGAGAAAAGGGTGCTGCCACTCTAGGAGGTAGCTTTAAACTCCTTTTACTCTTTGGCTAATACAGTTAAAGGGATTGACCAAAGTGACTCAGTTATTGGTGGGAAACTAAAGGCAAAAATCCAGCTGTTTTATAATGAATTGCATGAGGTTTTTGTTTGTTTGTTTTGTTTTTTTAACCCTGTTCCACATGGTTCTTCTTTTCCTGGTGGGGTAAGTAGTTTAATAAACTTAGAGGATCTTTTTATTGAGTACCGTACATAAAATTTCTTTTTAGTTCTTGATACTTTCTGAAGCTAGTCCCTTATCGCTCCTAGTCTTATGTTGCTTTGTCTGCCTTTTTCTCTCATTACATTGCTTTATCCTTTTGAATTCTGCTTTTAAGCAAACATTGCCTACAGAACAACATTATGAGATGCTATTATTATATAACTTCATTCCTAACAATATACGCAGTCTGCCTGAATGTGATAAAGTGATTATCATAAAATGGCAGATGCCTTGGGAGATTTTGAAAGTTAGGTTGCTGTTCTTTCCCCTGTGTTATTTTTAGCAACTAAAAATGCAGTAATTAGGATTTAAGTAATACTTTCTCTGGTGATGCACCAAATGGGAGAAAAGGGAATTTTTATTTTGGCTATCTGGTTATGGCCTGAGCCTGTGCATTTCTTTCAGTACAAGAGGTAATACCGTGTGTTGGTCAAGAGCATGGTTGGAGCCAGCCTGCGTGGGTTGGAATCCCAGCTTTGTCACCTAAGGTACCATAGCACAAAGTTGAATATAGCTTTTCTCACCAAAAAAGCTGTTGCTCTTGAATTCTTCTCACTGCAAATAACCCAGCCATCTTATTGGTTGGGAGGTTGGAGGTGTAAGAAGGAAGTAGCCAAACCCCTAAAACACTAGAAGGATAAAGATGTGCAGCAGATAGATGTATGGCATCTCCCTTTTTCTTCTCCTGACTTGAGGCAAAAATTCTTTACTTTAGTGTTTTAGAAGGCTGAATACCAGTTCCCTGATTGATTACCTATCTATTCATACCATAATTTTGATTTCCAGCAATGTGTTCATTACAATGGTTTCCCATTGTGAGGGGATAAATGAGCTATTTTGTGAGGTTTTTCGTAAACTGATTTGAGCTAGAAGAAACTTTTAAAGCCTGGAAATTGGAATGGAACTTTTCGGGAAGAAAATACCAGCTTAGATAAATATTATGATTTATACTCATAGACAGGTCCCAAGGGGTGGCAAAGAGAGGTAGCTTGAAACATGTTGGATGGCAAGTTGAGAGACAGAGTAACTCGGTAGAATACATTTTGTATGGGGAACTTGTCATGTTTATCACTGCTTCCCTCCCATCAACAATATTTAATACTTATTATTTATGCTATATTGACTAGCAGACATATGGCAATGGGAGATGCAGCTCGTAGAAGGTATTTCGATGCAAATTCATTTTTATTGGGAAAGAAATGCTCTCTATGGCTTTTCTAAGTGTTCTCTTCCACCCTCCTCACCCCAGTTTTCTTTTCAGGACTGTTTAGCTTTCCTTCTGTGCCAAGTCATCATTTTCCTTCCTTGCCATTTTTCACATATTTTGAAATAAAAAACTCCTAAGGTTTACTTCTTTTTATTTAGGCTGTGGGATAATTGATTTTGTTTTTCTTCTTTAAATGAGAGCGTAGGAGATGAAGGGGAGGGAGAAAGGAAATAAGAAACAGCTTTTCTTCACTAGGGCTTTAAGTTTTAGTTGACGTGCCTATGGTTGTCATTGTGATTGTGTGTGAATGTGTGTGTGTGTGTACTGTAGTATCCTAAGTTGTGTATAGGGAATATGACCTGTAAATATATTCTTGTATCTGTTTTAGTTGTTTTTTAAACAGCTTTAGTGAAGTGAAATTGACCTGTAATAAACAATATATTTTTTACATTGGGGTAAGTTTGACATGTGCATACACCTATAAAGCAGTGGCCATAATCAAGATAGTGAACCTAACCACTACCCCTCAAAGTTTCCTCATGCCCCTTAGGGATCCCCCTCTCCTACCCTTCCCTTTTACTCCCTCATTCCTAGGCAACCACTGGTCTGCTTTCTGTCACTGTACATTAATTTGCGTTTCTTAAAATTTCATATAAATGGAATAAAAATATATCTTTAAAAAAAAATCTGGGTTCTTTCATTTAATTAGAGGTTCGTTTGTGCTGTAGTTTGTACCAGTAGCTCATTCCTTCTTGTTGCTAACCAGGGTTCCGTTGTATGGATGCAGCACAGATTTTTTTTTTTTTTTAAAGATTTATTTGTTAGAGTCCGTGTGGGCTGGGGAGGAGCAGACAGAGAGGGAAAGAGAATCTCAAGCAGACTCCCCACTGAGCATGGAGCCCGATGTGGAGCTCGATCTCACGATGCCGAGACCATGACCTGAGCCGAAATCAAGAGTTGGACGCTTACCTGACTGAGCCACCCAGGCGCCCCTACACCACAGATTTTTTTAAAATCCATTCACCTCATGATGGATATTTGGGTTGTTTGTAGCTTCTGGCTATTACAAATAAAGATACCAAAATCCCTTCTGTACATATCTTTGAGTGAACAGGCTTATATTTCTCTTGGGTCAAGCCAAGGAGTGGAATGTCTGTCTACATTATATATTGGATGTATGTATAACATTTTGGGGAACTGATGAATATTTTTTTCAAAGTGGTTACATTTTTTTGCGTTCTCACCCTAAATGTGCAAGAGTTCCATTTCCTCTGCATCCTTGCCAACTCTTGGTATGGTTAGTCTTTTTCATTTTAGCCATTCTAACAGGTGTATAGTGGTATCTCATGTGCTGTTAATTTTCACTTCCATGATGACTGATAAGCTTAAACTTTTCTATGTGCATATTTGCTATCTGTCTTCTTGGGTGAAATGTCTTTCATGGAATTAAAAAAACTAAACTGTTTCCTTATTATATTTTGATAAGTTTTAATTGTATTTTGGATACAAATCCTTCATCAGATACGTGCTTTGCAAATGTTTTCTTCAGTCTGTGACTTGCCTTTTCCTTCTCTTACTAGTGTCTTTCAAAGAGCATCAATTTTGATGAAGTTCTAGTTTATCAGTTCTTTTTTTGAACTGTACTTTTGGTGATGTATCAAGAAATCTTTGCCTCATCCAAAGTCACAAAGGTTTTCTTTTATATTTTCTTCTAGAAGTGTTTTAGTTTTAGGTTATACTCTTAGATCTATGATCTGTTTTGAGTTCATTTTTATGGAAGATATGAGATATGGATCCAAGTTTGCTTTTGAATATGAATGCCTAGTTATTCTAATACCATTTATGGGAAGAACTATCTTTTCTTCCCTGAATTACCTATTCAGATGATCATACAGTTTTTCTATTTTAGTTTGCTAATGTGGCGAATTGTATTCATTTTGTTTTAATATTAAGGCAGTACCACATTTGTGTGATAAACCCAACTTGGTCATGATGTATTATCCTTTTATTTATCTTGTTGAATTTGAATCTTCTTCATTTTATTTCGGTTCCTTTGTTTATTTGGGGTTTAATTTACTCTTGTTTTTTTCTTCTGACTCTCCAAGATGGAAAGTGAAGTCATTGGTTTAAGACCTGTCTTCTTCTATAGGTGTTGAATGATACAAATTTACCCCTATATACTGCTTTACTAATAGCATCCCTTAAATTCTGATATGTTGTGTTTCATTTTCATTTTGTTCAGAATACTTTCTAGGTTTCTCTTTCTTTGGGGTTTTCCACATATCTTTTTGTTATTGATTTTTAATTCAATTTTTATTGTAATCAGAGAAATAGCTGGTATAATTTAAACCCCTTTAAATTTATTGAGATTATTTGATGGCCTAAAATGTGGTTTATCTTGATAAGTGTTCCATGTGCACTGGGAAAGAATGTGTTTTCTGCTCCTTTTGGATGGGATATCATTTAGATGAGGGATATATCAATTAGGTAAAATTGGTTGATAGCTTTATTCAAGTCTTCTGTATCCTAACTGAATTTTTTGTCTACTTGTTCCATCAAGTTATTCAAACAGAGAAGTATTTAAATCACCAGCCATAGGTGTGGATTTGTCTGTTTCTTCTTATAGTTCCATCAATATTTGCTTCATTTATTTTGAAACTCCTGTTATTATTAGACACATTAACATTTAGAATTGTTATGTCTTGTTGATTAATTGTCCTCTTTATCGATATGAAATGAACTCCTTTATCCCTGCATTTTTTTCTTGGCTTTTGTATATGTCTTAAATTTTTTTTGTGTGTGTGTCTTTGATTTTTTTTTTCTTAAGCATTTAAAGAGGAATTTCTGGGTTACACAATTTAAACCTCTTAAAGATTTTTAATATCTTGCCAGATTGCCCTCCAGGAAGACTGTGCAGATTAATACTTGTCTAAGTATTCTTTAAGTGTTTTTACAGAGTTCAGAGATCGGGTCTTTTAAAATTTAAGATACATATAAAGATTGACTGAACTGTAGCACTCTTTGACCACAGGATAAAATACACTGCCGTTCGTGTAATCTGTTTGGTAGAAGATTAAAATTATGTTGGGCATTTTTCACATTGTTATCAATTTTATTTCACATCTCTTTTATTGTTTCATAGGCATAAGCCAAAAATGGATATCATATTTCTGTAATAGAGATTTGTAAGGGGAGAGGATATCTTTGTTTAAAGTTTTTAATGTTTTTTTGTAGCATCTTCAGTTAATATCCTAGAGATGATTTTCAAAACTATATGCTTATATTTGGTTGGTTAGAATGTTTGACTTTAAATAAGTTAGTATGTGGAAAGAAGTTTTATATATGAACTCTGATGTTTATAAAGGTATTTTCCAAGATTAAGTATGAAATTTTTAAAAAAGATTTTATTTATTTATTTGAGAGAGAGAGAGCATGAGAGGAGGGAGGGTCAGAGGGAGAAGCAGACTCCCCGCCTAGCAGGGAGCCTGATGTGGGACTTGATCCCAGGACTCCAGGATCATGACCTGAGCCGAAGGCAGTCGCTTAACCAACTGAGCCACCCAGGCGCCCTTAAATATGAAATATTATGTGATTAGATCTGATAAGGACTTGTGGCTGCTTAAGCTTTGGTAGTGCCTGGTACAGATAGTACTTAATAAAGTAATCCGTTTGATTTATATATCTTTTTGATATGTAAAAAAATTTCCTAGGGAAAGTTTTACACATTAACTGAGAAATGCACATCGTATTTATAACCTTTTATAAAAAATGAACACAAAGAGCAGTGATCTGTTGGGATGTGTTTGGTAATTCTGGGCTGTCCTTTTCATACAGGAGTCTTCCAGAGCCTCTTATGACCTATGAACTACATGGAGATTTCATTGTTCCAGCCAGTAAGTATTATGTAGAGGTGTAGTGGTTGACAGAGTGTTTAAAATTTCCACATGAAAAATCTCACTTAATGTTCTTGTAAATGTTAAAAATAGAAATCCCTTTAGAAGGTGTTTGGTCTCTTTCCTCTTTTAGAGGGTGAAAAAGAGTGAGAATTGATTAATTCCCATTTATTTATTGCCTACTGTATGCTAATCACTGGTAGATACTGGGTAGGTGGAGCCCTGAAAGGATTTCTGCCTTTAGGAGTCCATTCTCCAGCAAATATTGGGGCACACACGCCTCCCATTATCCCATAAAACAGAATAATGGCATGAGCAAAACGCTTTGGGAGCACAGAAGTATTTAACTTGCAGAAGGCTGGGGAAGATTAGCAGATTTGGAGAGATTAGCAGGTTGGAAATGGCTTCCCATAGAAAGATATTTAGATGGAAATTACAGGCAGAAGGAGTAATGTGAGATAAAGCCAGAAGCCCACACAGTATCCGATAGAGAGTGAATTATGTGATAAAATGTTAAAAAAGGCCTATAGTTGGTAGAATTTTAATTTGTGATTGAATGTTTCGTGAGTCATACTCATCTGAAGGTGTCCTGTTTTCTCGCTGTTATTCATACACCTTAGTTTTGTGTTGACACATGGTGTTTAATCATCAGAGTTGTCCGAAATCCGTTGGTGTGAGGTATTTAATAGTTAAGGAGATGAAGGGTGAGACATGTGAAGTCACTTGCCAGATTATAGAGATCTTTATTTAAAATTCAAAACCCTAGCTCACTGGCTAAAACCTGCAGGATTGGTTTTCACAGGTGCACTGACAGTAGCTATAATTGTATTTTCATTTCCTTTTTTTTTTTTCTTCCCCCTTGGATGTATTCCACAGTTTAATCTGTTGAAAAATTTAGAGCAATCCCTTTGGGTCCTATGTTACTGCTGCCCGAACATTGCTTTAAACATTATCTTCTTGTGAGGTCTTTACGGCAGCCAGTGTAAAGGTTCCTAGTGTGTTACAGAGAGAAGCAATGTGTAGGCCCAGCTAGGCTAGACTGTGCTGATAAAACAGGCCTTTGGAAAAGGCAAAAATATGGTCCCACTCACTTCTGTTTTCACATGGAAGAGGAATTTTTTTTTTGGTAAGAATTTGTGTGATCAAGGAAGTGGGGGAAAGTTTTCTTGGCAAAAACTCAAGCAAACGCTTAGTTGTTTTGATTCCTTCCCTGTGGCATTTTTGGCAAACGGCCGAAAGAGAAATTAAACTCTAGTTGGAGGACAATTGTTTCATGTTTTTCACCTCAGAGACTGGAAAAAGCAGAAGAGTGCCAGTTTTAATCTAGAATCCTTTGAGAATGGGGAAAAGATAAAGTGATTATGGAGTAAGGTTTTAAAATACCACAAGCTAATGTCATTAGGATTATCATGCCTTATAACTGAAACTGGTGTGTTTGAAATTCTGATGTGAATTTTTTTTTTTTAATACCCGATGAAGTCTCCATAAGAGGTAGGAGCTTGCGAGTAGTAATGGAGTCTGTAGCGGTAGGAAAGGAGTTTAAAAAGTTTGTCGAAGCCATCCTTGAGTAATGTGGTAGAAGAGATTGCATAAATATAAACGGTAGCATCACCTACTAGATCGGTGCCTTGTGTTTGGCCTCCCGACTTTCTGGGGATGCTGTAATAGAGTCTCCACAATGATTTGAGTAACAGGCCTGTTCCAAAGAAATACTATAACTACTGTAATTATTGGCATGAATTTGCACCCAAGTGGAGTTGCGGTTAGAGCAGGACCTGTAGTTACCTTCTTTAACGAGAAAAAGTGTGTGTGTTACACAGGTGTATCCAGTATCCTCAGTGTGGACTTTAATTTTTTATTTATTTTTATTATTATGTTAATCACCATACATTACATCATTAGTTTTTGATGTAGTGTTCCATGATTCATTGTTTGTGTATAACACCCAGTGCTCCATGCAGAACGTGCCC